CCCCGCAATAAACGAGGGACTACTGTACATGCACATGTCTAAGTATTTCATTAGGTGGTGCTGAAGGTTCTAGAAGGCCTTAAATTGACACCATCGAGGCCCATTATTGTCTCGTTACTGATCACGACTGACTGCAGCTTGTAGATCATTGCTGACTGCATTTATTGTCTCGAACAATACTCATCTGTAACGCTCTGAGGAAAAGACTTTGATGTTCAAGAACAACCCAGGAACCACAACAGCCTCTTTAAAAACACAGTACCAACTGTCAGGCATGGTGGAGGTAGCATCATGCTGTGGGGCTGGTGCATTGCACAAAGCGGATGGAATGATAAAATGGGACTTCTTCCAAATATTTCAACTTCCCTTTAAAGCAACAGCTGGATGGTTTATACTTGGATACATCTGGATGATCCAACAGGACAACGATCCCAAACACACAGCAGAACTGGTTTCAAATTGGATCGAACATTAAGCTTCTGGATTGGGCACGCTCAACCTGAATGAAACTTGTGAGCGTTGCTTCAAAGCAGGGTCTATGCCAGGAAACCAACTCTGCCAATTCTGCTGAGCAGACTGTTCAAACATCAACCAGGATTTTAACAGAAGCTCATAGACGGAAACAAATTGTTCAAAGTGCCACTTTAAGGAACGTTCACCAAACTGTTAGTGGGCGTATAATATAATAAGTTAGAGACTGAATGTATGATTTCTAAAGAATTCAAACTTGTTGATTTTTAAAATCATTGAAGTTGTATGTTTTACAGTCAGGTACAGAGCACGTGGGGTTGTTATGGACCTGTAGAGATGACAACAGGCTCAGAGAAAAGAAAGTCACTGTTTAGTTTAGCGGCAGACAGAAACGTACCTGCTGCTCCTCCCAGAGCTTTTCCCAGTGTGGAGTTCACGATATGAACTCTGTCCATCACTCCCAGCAGCTCGTCTGTTCCTCTGCACAACAGACAACAAACAGTTTTGCCTTCAGCTCTATTCAAACACAGCTTCAACAAGCAGCACGCCAGTGCCCCTTGTTACTGAGGGATCTGATGAGTGAATGTTTGTAGGTTTTCAGAATGAGTGTTTTTCTGGACTGGAAGTGAACAGAGAACGTAAGTAAATCTTAATGGTTTTGGTGCAAGATGTTCAAGTGGGCAGGAGTTACACTGTGGAGAAGAACAGAGGTGGTTTTCTGTTTGTTGCTTGTCCCAGGCAGTGCAGAGTGATGGGCCCTGGCGAGAGGAGGGAGAACTTGATGGAGATGTGAAAGATATTTTACCTTCCTCTGGGCCCCAGGAATCCCGTGGCGTGACATTCGTCAATGAACACCATGGCGCCGTACTGTTCTGCAAGGTCACAGATTCCTGGCAGGGGAGCCACATCGCCATCCATGGAGAAGACCCCATCAGTCACTACCAGACGCATGCGAGAGGTCTGAGGAGAAAAAAACACACACGGACGGAGCAAACGTGACATCGACCATCAACATCCATCAAAAGAAACGCACCAGGAGACTGTCTGGAACCATCTGTTATATCATGCACTGCTACTTAAATGACTCTTTTATCCTAAAATGAACTAGAAGCAAAGATGTAGTCATGTCCTCTGATGACTTTAGAAAAGTTTAATTAAAATACAACATGAAATATTTACCGTAGCTAAAAGGGAGACACACATGCAAAAGCCTTATCTCCTTTAGGCTTTCAGAAGCAAACACAAGTAGATCTGAGAAATATCCAGTATAAATACATAAAGACCTAAACTGAAACAGAGAGTTGTTGTTTTAGGGTCAGCCCTTGGGAACAACCACAGACCTGAGCCTCTTTGAGCTTGTCCTCCAGATCTCGGAGGTCCATGTGTTTGTAGCGCAACCTCTTTGCTCGACACAGGCGAATCCCGTCAATGATGGAGGCGTGGTTGAGCTCATCAGACAGAACTGCATCGTCTGGGCCCAGAAGCACCTGGCGATGAAAAAAAAAAAGAGATTCCCAAAACAATCAGGTGTAGATCTAACAAGGTTAAGTCAGGTCCTCTGGATGGATTCTTCTTTGATGAAACGTTTCATCTTTTATCCAAAAACAGTCGTTAGGCTGATGGTCCTCCTTTTACATGTGAACAGCTAGTTCTGGATGTCACCACCAATCTGGTCGATCCACTATGAGAAGGTGCTATTTATAAGACTGAGTTTGTTGCAGCTCCTCAGACTGAAGAAGTATTTTGGATGAAAGATGAAACGTTTCAACAACGAAGAATCTGTCCAGAGGAGCCGACTCAACCTGGTTAAGTCAGGTATCCTCCCTTCACTCCCTGTACACAACAGAATACATTTTAAAATTATCCTATTGACCTTTAAGTGCATTAATGGCCTTGCACCCTCATACATCTCTGACCTACTTCAACCATATGGTCCTTCAAGCACTTTGATAACAGTCTATCTGCTTTAAATTGTGCTCCATAAATAAATATGACTTGACTTGACTTCTCAGGCGCTGAGATCATCTGATCAGCTGCTTTTGGTTGTACCAAGATCGGGCTTTTTCAGTCTTGGACCCTAAACTCTGGAACAATCTGCCCCTCAACATTAGACAGACCACTTCACTTCCTGTTTTTAAATATCTCCTAAAAAACACACCAGTATCCTTTTAACACAGTGTCATTTGATTTAGTATTTTATTGTTTTGCGTTTCATGTTTTTCTTTTGATGCTTTTAAATTAATTTTGTCATTACTTTGTTCGTTAAATTACTGCCATTGACTTTGATTGTTAAGCACTTTGGTAACAGCTGCAGTTTTTAAAATGTGCTTTATAAATAATCTTGACTTGATTTGTTAGATTTATATACCATATTTTTCAGCATATAAGTCACAGTTTTTTGAATAATTTACATGCCCTGAGACTTATAGGCCGAAGCCACGTATTTATGGATATTTTCCCATATTTATAAACCAATTTTTGGCTGAAATATGACTGTTTCATTTATTCTGACTGAAATTTTTTATTGAGCAGTACCACTTTCAGCCACTTGGTAGCAGCAGAGTAGTAGTAGCATTAGGCATGCTGTTGTATCATGTAATAGGTAAACGTGGCTATAACGACAAATTCAAAAAAGTTCAAGACAAAAACAGCTGGACTTTATTTATTATACTTTACTTTTTACTTTATTGTTTTTGTCTTGAACTTTTTTGAATTTACCATGTCCTGGATGACTGAGAATCTTCACCAGCTATTAATGACACAATCGGCCTGCCATATACCACCTTCGTTCTGCTTGCTGCTTGGAGCAACCTCAGCTTCATTTTGCTGCACTGCCCTGGCGAATTGCAGCTAATTTGAACATTAAAGTGCATTTAATAAGGAAAAGTTCAACTGAGACACACCTTTGCTATAATTTCGAGAAGGGGTTCTCTGCAGGCCAAAAGTGCACGTGTCTGGCTAATAGGCGTTTCTAGAGGACAAACACTGATTGGCTAGCTGTATTTGCTGCTCTTTATTTAAGTTACGTCAGCTCTTTTTAAAAACTGAATGTTTTTAAGAACCAGCGTTAAATCTACGGTCAAACACAAGAAGACTCTCTTGTTCTTGGTTGTAGCTGCACCTGACACAGGTTGGCTTGAGTCTGGGTACAATGAAATATGAAACATCTGAAGCAAAACCTGCTCCCATTTGTGCAAAAGGTCTGGTCTCAATAAAAGATCATGAGTCCTGTAACGAGATAACGGCCCAAAACAAAAGGTAAAAACAAAATGTTCTCTTTAGAAGTTCTTCTATGAGATCTGATCTATGAAAGGAGCTGAAACATGAACTGACCCTTTAAAATGTGAGACAGCTCAGGAAGTTCACCAGTAAACAGAAATACCTGCTCCAGTTGCAGAAATCTGACAGAAACTGACAATCACTCATCTGCAGTGACTGATTTAAACGTTGAACAAGAAAATGTGAAGTTAAAGGAAACATCCTTTGTCCCAAGGCCAGTTTAAGTATCATTAATATTATTCTTTCTTTATGAATCAATTGTAACAATTTTCACATTTTTCAACAACCAAAATGGATTTTGTTTTTTAATGTTATGGCTAGGTATAAAAAAAAAACATTTAGCCCTCCCCACTACCCAGTTATGTGGCTCTTATTTTGAAATGTAACCGGAAGTTCTGTGTTAAGAGACGTGGAAAGAGAAGTTATGGAGACGCCGCCAATGTTGAACCTGAGACGCCGCTAATGTCGAACCGGTTAACACCATAGACATAATGTGTCTGTGGTGTTAACACAAACGGCTTTTTATCGTTCAGCTTCTTTTTCTATCGTCCAATCAGATATGGCCCCCCAGATACGCCTTCCGAATTTGTCTGCAGAGATACCTCCTTGATCATTTCAAGCAAACACATAATTGTTTTAGGTGCTTTTCTTGTTAAATTTCGAAAAAAACGAGCGGCGCTCCTCCTCCTTTTCTCCCTCCCTGTCTGAGCGCTCCCGGAGCACCGAGGCAGAGGATACTTTTGAGATGCAGCTGATTTGACCATTAAAGTCCTTTTATTAAGCAAACGTTAGACTGAGACACACCTTTACTATAAAGTCGAGAAAAAAAAAGTTTTTAGGCGTTTATCTTGTTGAAGAAATGAACAGCGACTCGTCCCTCTGTGCATGACCGCTTCCACGAATCGGCTTTTGAGATGCAGCTGATTTGACCGTCAAAGTGCATTTATTAAGCAAAAGTTAGACTGAGACACACCTTTACTGTAATTTCAAGCAAACAAATAATTGTTTTTAAGCGATAATCTTGTTAACGTCCTCTCATGCACACCCCAGTGGTCGCCATTTGGCAGCCAATCCATTTTTGGCACAACACCAGCCCACATTTCTGGGTTGTCAGCGGTGACGTGTAATAGATGCGACGTATACAGCGAAGCAACGTATTTATGGATTTTCCCACGTTATTAGACATAATTGGACTGATGCAACTTATAGGGCGGAGCGACGTTTATGGCAGAAAACACGGTAGTTTGTGTAGAATTCCCCGGGCGCCAGCCTTTCACCCTCCCCCCCTCTGCTCTGTTGAGCTGTTATCAGAAGCCCCAGCTGCACACGGAGATGTGTCCAGGAGTTGGTGGTGGGAGACGGATCACTTCTCAAGGACTCTCTGAAAACACGTCACTGTATCAAATCAATATGTCAAACCCTGAGCATAATAAAAATGATCTCTTTGCTGTCTTTACTGATTGGTCACATCAAGACCGATCATTACATAAAAGTAAAGATCCTGGAACATTTTAATATAATTTATAATAACAGTAAAACAGCAGTGCATGAATATATTAAGTAATATTATGGAGCATGGTGAGTGCAAAAAATGCACATTCCCTTGACACATGAAAGTCACACATGAAAGTCATTTCATGCTTTTGGTCTAAAATTTTAAAGATTTTTTGCGGAGAGTAAACACCAACGTACTTCAAACAAGCCGGCGTTTGCATCGAAACAGCTGGCGTAGAGGATGCAGTCCTCTCGCTCATGAAACTCTGCAAGCTTCTGCTCCAGGTGTTTGTGCAGATCCTAAAAAAAATAAAATAAATCATCATGTAAAAACACAGAACTCAACCAGTGGCGCAGATATGGCAGTTCTGAATTCTTATGTGATGTAAGCGTCTTACCTGTGTCCCACAGATGAATCGGACAGAGCTCAGTCCAGCGCCGTGGGACTTCAGGGCATCGATTCCCGCCTGCACCACCTCTGGGTGACTGGACAAGCCGAGGTAGTTGTTGGCACAGAAGTTCAGCGTTGCTAAGACACAGAAATGGAAATTAAGAGGACGATTGATGAAAAAATAAAAAACTGGCAATACCATAAAATGTAAGAACTCAAGTCCTTTTAACAAAAGGTTTGTTGCTGTGTGCTTTGCCTGTTTGTTTCTGCTGTACAGCCCTTTGGTTGTCCTTGTTGCTGTTTTAAGTGCTTTTTAAATAAAGTATGGTAAACAGACAAAACAATCCACCTGAGGTCATCTCATAATGAGAAGGGATGGAGTTGTAGCCATTTTGGTCAAATCTCTTAACGTTACGCACGTTCTCATGGAATACTGCGAGATCTCACATCAGCTTGAACTCAAAATCTGTTGAATTCACTGAGTTGTAGCCGTTTTTATATTGGCTTAAGTAGGCCTGTCGCAGTAAACGATAAATCAATTAATCGCACGATGAATGAAAATTATCGACGTCATTTTCATTTACGGCTTTATCGTTTCTTCGTGTCGCTCTCTTTCTACTGCTCAACTCGGGTGCTCTTCACTGACCCCTCCCTTTCTCTTTAAAATCTGTTTTAACCGTCCAAAAGTGTGTTTTTGGATCATTAAAAGAAGCTACGCTGAGATGCTAAGTTACGAGCTAAGCTAAAAGGCCGACCTCGGGGAAAAACCTCCGTTTTGTCAAAGCTCCAAAGCACCTCCCTCACATTTTACTTAAAGAGACACGCTGCTCGCTCCCTCACTAGCCATCCTTCAGTTCAAGCGGCCTTATACTGCCATCCGGTGGTCAAAAAAAGCGAAACAAAATAAGATAAAATAGAAAACGCTCCTTCTTAAATTTTACTATAATGACTAATTATCGTCAACTTTCAAACAATATTATCATTCATCGCAATAATTTCTGAGTCAATTAATCGCTCAGTAAAATTTGTTATCGTGACAGGCCTAGGCTCAAGTAAATTAGCTGTGATGAGTTAGTTTTAGATGCCCTGCCAAGGATTAATTGGAAACATCCTGATTCATGTAATTCAATAAATATATTATTATAATATATATAATAATGTTCAATAATCCAGGTAGAAAGATCCAAAACAGTTAAGTCAGGTCCTCTGGACGGTTTCTTTTTGTTGAAACAGTTCGTCTTTCGTCCAAAAGACTTCATCAGTTCGGACTCCAGAAACCATCAAACTGGTTGACCCACTATGTGAAGGTGCTATTTATAAGACTGAGTTTGTTGTGGCTCCTCGGACTGATGAAGTCTTTCAGATGAAAGACGAAACATCTCAACAGGAAGAAACCATCCAGAGGACCGGACTTAACTTTGTTGGATTACTTGGAGAGTTTCATTAAAAATCTGTTCATGGGTTCTTGACTCATGCTAGTTTTAGGCAACTATGTTCAGAGTTCAAGGTATTTGTTGGGAATGACGCACGGCCACTACCACACCCACTTTTACATCAGCTAAATATTCGTGTTTCCTAAGGTCAGCTGGTTGTGGTGCAGTGGCCATCATATTTTAGGATGATTCTATGGGTAATGAGTTACATTTGTACCTGCAGTGATTAATTTCTGGGAGTTTCATTAAAATCCACTCACTGGCACATGGGATATTTTGCTGACAGACAAGCACTGACAACATTACTGTCTATAGCATATATATATATATATATATATATATATATATATATATATATATGCATCAACACGAACAAAAAGCATAAAATCTAAAAGTCCAACTTCTTCATATAACTTGATAGTTTTAGTTAAACTGTAATAGTTACCATCACATGTTTAGAGATACTTTTTAGTTATACCGACACAACAGAGATCAAATTCCAACAGGTAAGACCTGTCACGATGAGATAAATAATGTTATATAAAGGTCACGTGATAATGTTAAAGTACGCGCATGTAACCAGTGGTTGTAACGTCACTCACTGCCACGGCTGCCCTGCACGCTGATCTGAGGACCCTGCCTGGAGGTGATGATCCTCTCCGCCTTCCACGTCCCCGCGGCTCGGATCGTGTCCAGCTCGTGCTCCAGCAGCGCTCTGGCCTCAGCGACAGCCGCGAAGCTGCGCTTCACAACCGACTCCGTTGACACCAAGAACCCTCGGACCGGTTTTATAAAACTCCAGGCTGCTTTTCCGAGAGACATGTTGATAATAGTTTTTAGACGCGAATCACCACGAGCGAGCTGTAGGACGTAGCGTGTTTACGACACGTAAAATGATATGGGCGTAAGTCATAAACACCAATCAAATGGCAGAGATTTCAGACCATTGGCTTGTTTTGTCCAATCACAACGGTTTTTTTATTTATTTCTCCCTTGTGGTCTCCACCAATCAGAGCTGATGATGTGCCTGTACATACGTCAGTGAGCGATTATCGTACGTCAACGTCGCCGCCATATTGAACGTGGCAAAAGTGAAGAGGTAGGAGATACCTCATTCATTCAGAGTGGACATATGGAAAATGCTGGGCAAGACTATTCGTTTACAAGGTTTATATAACTTACACACACACACACACACACACACACACACACACACATATATA